TATTCATTACAGTTTTAAATGAAAACTACAGCTTCATTTTGAGACAAATTTAAAGATAGAATTACTCAGGAGAAGCTACCATACAGGGAAGTCAATGTAACGTAAACCATGCTGAGGGTCAAAAGATGCCTCTCTGAGCTCTGGTTTCAGCTGTATCTTCTGAATGCAACTGATACTAGACCAAATATACCACTGTGTTAGAAACTAGCACTTCCTTCCTCCTTTAAAATCACAAGTGATTTTGGTAAAGAAAAATACATGGAACTTGATTCTGTTCCCTAGTATATTTGTGTCGTTCCGATTGGGAACGGCGATAAAGAACGACACTGGACTCTCAAGGGAGTCACAACACGAGAATTCCTCAGTTTATTGCTTCAGCCCTGTCTTATAGACAGATACGTGGAAAGTACAGAAAGGAAACTCTTATTGGTTAACAAAGTGCTACATTACCATCATTGGTCAGTGGGGTTCACCACCCTCTGACTTTCTCTTGCAAGGAAAACAAGGGACAGACAAACAGCACCTGCAAGGCTGTTTTGTGTCCCTGAGGATTGTTTTGAAATCCTCCCATGAATTTCGCAGGCTAGCTCTCAGTCAGGCCTGAGAGCTATGTGGCCTGTAATAACTACAGGCACTCTGGTTCAGATTTAGCATCCATATATTTGAGGTACTACTGCTGCACTGTTAGATTAGGTTTACAGGTTTTGGGATTTCTGTGGCATCTGGCATGGCAGCTGAAGTCCTCTAGAGTATCCTAGTACACCTAGGGGCACTAAATGCTTATGTGAAGGCAATTGAATTGTGCCTTTAAAAGCAGATTTTTAGATTAGTAATGGGAGTTGGAAGAAGTTTTCCTCCTTTTGTTAATAGAGGCTTGAAATTTTGCTTTTACATGATGTCTAGTGGTCAGATGAAGCTGGCTGTAGCCCAGCCCTCTAGGTCCAGACCCTTCCTATCACTAGTGTCCTAAGATACAGTAGAGCACTGCTCAACTGCATGCTCCAGAAACTCTTGATATACTAGCGAATATTTATTAAATAAATGAGCTGGAATTAGTCACTCTTCATCCAACTTTCCCTCACA